TTGAAGAACAAGGTAGAGGCAAATAGAGATGCATGCTTATTCTAAGATACTTAGAGCCAATTAAGAAATATTAAGCAGAGTGTAAAAGTCTTCAGTCACTCTCTGCCTCGCTGAGAGGCAGAAGCTGGCTGCAAGAAGAGTTTTTTATGCTTTGAACGCCTGTCCTAAGCCACTTTATTTTGACTGTCTCTCACGTCAGCCGCCTTCTCTGAACCTGCTCCAACTCAACCTCCCTGGGCTCCTGAGATGTATCGATTTTCCTATAAATCAGTGAAGGAATGTGAAACTCTGGCAAGTTCCTGAAACTCCCCTTTATTACCTCCTTAAGGCGGGGGGTTGTTTTGTGTAACTTTTTTCCTTTACTTATCCATCCCATTTTCCTCCTGAGATCTGAACTAAGTAATACTTTCCAGCACATTGGGATTCTGAAGAAGTAAGATTATTTCTTCTCGGTCTTAATTGAAGAGACATATTTGACTAACCATCTCTAGCTGACAATTCTCAAATTTTTATCACCATCCCTGACCACTCTGTCAAACTGCAGATTTGTTTATCCAACTGCCTTTTCAACATCCTCACTTGGATTTCTAACAGTTATCACAAATTTGACTGAACTCTTAGTCTTCCCTCCAAACTGTTTTACCCGCAAAGTTCTCCATCTAAATTAATGTCAACCGTGTCCTTCCCAAACACCCTGTGTGATCCTTGATTCTCTCTTTCACAGCCCACATCCAATTCAGCAGTAAATCCTGTTGGTTTTACTGTCAAAATATATTTGACATCCAGCCACCTCTCACAAATTCTACTGCTACCACCAACCCACCATCATCTCTCACCTGGATTATTGCAATAGCCTCCTTACTGGTCTCTCTGCCTATAGTCTTGTCCCTATGTAGTCTGTTCTCTACACAGCAGCCAGAGTGATTCTTCTCAAAAGCAAGTGAGATCATGTCACTCCTCTGTTGAAACTCTACCATGGATTCCCATTTTACTTAAGATAAAGGCTCAAGTTTTGTTTCTAAGGCTCTAGATGTAAATGTATACTAGTGGCTCTTGCGTTACCTGATATTTTGTACAGTCTCGGTGTGAAAATAAGTTACAGTTAAATGACAAGCACCATACTATCATAAATTCAGACCAATAATAATCAGTACAACCTCCCTGGAATCCAGTTTGTCCTCACAAATTTGAACTCTGTTGAAAATATTTGTCAATTTGGTTAACGAAGATTATCTTTGCTCTATCTGTAGGAAAAAGCAACCGCTATGCAACTAGAAATGTAAACAGGAAAGAACTTAAGCTTTTCCTTTGGGCTAGAAAGTCAACTTGTTATTTGTTTTCTGTAAAGTACTCATAAATTCACTTCATATAATAAATATGTGATCGAAACCAATTGTACTAAATGCAGATCATTTTTGCACATAACTTTTAAATTCTCTATGCTTTATATTCCTGATATCCTTTCTTATTTGTCAGAAGCATTACCCTATCAATTTTACGATAAGAAATTGCACAAAACATCCTTTCTTTCTCTGAAGTTTACCGAAGTTATCCTCTCAACTCGAGGAACCAGAGGAAGTTGTTGTTAAAGCTTTTTGGCAACCTCAGCATTTATGAGAGCTGGAAGTATGTCAAAAAGTAGAGCAATAAAGGAAATATGGATCTCAAAGTCTATGCACTTTGCTCCAGCAGAGTGGAGACCCACCCTCACGTCTGAGGTTATGAAGAGGGAGCCCTGTTATCTTGTCTTCATTTATGTTTTAGCAGGTAGCAGATAAGAAACAGGGAGGGGATTTGTGGCAGGCAGGGCTACCTGGAGCAGATTCCTCAAGAACTGTCAGCGAATTCAGAGCCTGCATAGATAGAGTTGACGGCAATAAAGCTGTTTGGAGCCATTTAATGTAAAGCATTGAAGACAATCACGTTACAGCCTAGTCAGTAAACAATGTTCAAGATGATGACACTGAGTCATCGTAAAAAAAAAAAAAAAAAAAAAAGGACATGTAAAATAATGTTCAGGCAACATCTCAATTAGGATAGAATTTTAGAAATTTAAGTTCTAGAAAAATTTCTTCCTTAAATGGTTTAAAAATGCAAAACTGGTACAATCCAGGCAGTACGTTTTAGTTTTGCTTATGTGACCCTGCTTTTTCTTAGAATACAACAGTTTCCTACAGAACTCCTATGCACGATTCTCTCATTTCCCTCACCTCTCAGAGTTCCCTGATTATTACATGGCTCATCTAATATTGAGTGGCTTTTATTACTAGGCTCCCAGTATTCTTCTCTGTGTTCTTGTGTAGTAATTTATATAATACTTATGACATTCCTATGAGATGGGTATAATATTGTCATCAACTTCGAAATAAGGAAATTAGGTGCAGGGGGAATATTATCTGCCTGAGGCCACATAGCTAATAGTGGCAGAAGAAATGTGTTATGCTACTTAACTCTTATAAATGACGCTCCTGTGATTGAGGAGAGCTGTCCATCCTCTGTCTTCTCTTTCGTGTCTGAAATGTGCTTCCAATGACATTATTTTAGACCCATTTACACTCTTATTTACTTTCCTCTGGATATTCTCCTGCATTCTCTATAAAATTGTGGTCCTCGGAAATGAGCATAATGCTCTAAATTATTTTGTATACAATACGTCTATTAACAAAGTCCAAGAGAATGTAAGATGGATTTACCTTCCGTTGGGCAGCCAGATTGGATTTACAGCTCATATTAAGCTTTTATTCAACCCGCTTGACTGGGCTGCTGTAGTAGTTTCCTGGCTGGACTCCTCCTGCATCCACCCTTACCTCATAGTGTCTGCTTGCTTGAGAGTGATCTGGTTAAAACTTTTGCCAAATCACGTCTCGGCCTGAAGCCCTCCAATGTCTGCCCACATTCCTCAGAGTAAAAGCCAAACTCCTACAGTTCTCCATAAGGCTCTCCTGGTGGGGCCCTCGGCTTTCTCTCCATCTTCACCCCCTGCCATTTAACCACTCTGGCCACAAAAGGCCTCTCCGTTGAGACCTGCCTACACTCTTTGCTGTTGGCTCTGCCTGGAACAGTCTTCTTCCAGATATCAACATGGCTTTCATCCTTTCCTTCAGGTCTTTGCTCAGATGTCACACTGTCATCCCCACCCCATCATTCGCCATCCTCTTGTCCTGCTTATTATAGTCATAGCACTTATCATCAGCTAGGTGTTTCTTTCCTCTACCCCACCTCATTTAATATGATAGCCACAGGAAGTTTTCCTGTCTTATTCATTAGTGTACATCCAATATCTAGAATAGTGCCTGACATATAGTAGATAGACAATAAATAATTGTTCAATCAAGATTCTTATTGTTTTGGACATGAACTGTTGTTGATCAGAGGACCGCTTCATCCTATATATAGTGTGTACTTGTTTCTGAGACATTTAGATCTCTTGTTGTAGAACTTCACATTTAGTTAAATCCCTTATTGAAATGGAAGATATGCTGTGTCTTTGTTTCTTTGTTTATTATTCTATTGTTTTATCAGAAAGGAAATGAGGCAGGGAACATCCGACTTGTTTCTAGTGAATCCCTAGATATATATTTAGGGCCAGAGATGTATATTTTCCAAGTGCAAACCACATTCTACAAATTATATTTCATGGTTTTGAGAGGTATCAGGATCAAGAGCTCTTCCCTCTGCCCCTTTTCGCGCTCAGCCCTTTTGAAAAGTAGAACAGGTTTCCTGCCTCTCTAGTTCCTAATGTTTTCTGGCTCCATTCTTTCTCAAAGAGAATCTGTTCTTTTAGGCCAATCGTTTACATGGGTCCCATCTCCTGGGTCTTTAGTGGATTCTTTCCGTTCTCAGATGGACTCGGACAATGCGTCTGGGTAGCCATCAGAATAGCAGCATCTTCTCAGTGGAGACTGAACAAAAATTTCACCAATACAGTCACTGCTTGCACTTAGCCATCACTGCGCTGGTTTTCCTCCAGAGTTATTTGGACCGTTCTCTTATTTTTCTCACTTCTCAAAATGTCTTGGCTTCCAGAATTTTCCTGCCTCACTGTTATTTCAGGCTCTTTGTCCATCTATTTTTAGCTTTCGGATGTTAAGTCCTGCTTTCTCCATTTCAATTTGATCACGTTAATCTTATTTTCTGCCTCAGCAAATTGAAGTTAGACTACTCCCTTTTTTTCTAAACCCAAGTGCTTCCTTCAGGAAGTGACGTCACTAGAGTTTTGCTTCAGCTTTTATTGAACTCTTTGTTGAGTCTCACGTGCTGTTCCCCCTTCTCTAGACTCGTTTTTTGCTTAAGGCCTGTGAGAAGGGATCTCAGCTTCCTCGAATGTGGGAGGAGCCTTACTGAAACTTCCCTGATCCCCCAATGTTCTTTTAACATTCGTTATCATAATTACTTAAATTTATCAATTACTTTATTTTCTTAAAAGATCATGTATTTCAAGTCGCATCAAAGACAATAAGTATCCACCTCTTTTTGATGTGGCCGAACCAAATCCATCATCTTCACCGAAGGCACTGTCCCTCCGCTGCCCTTGATCTGCGCTTCCATTATTGCTCTTAGACTATCGACTATGACTTAAAGGCTTGTGCTCTACAATCAAGCCGCACACATTAGTGTCCAGGCTCTACCACTTACTAACCGACTGAGGTTTGGCAATTTATTTTTCTTTGAGTCTCAGTTTAATAATCTGTATAATGGTGATAAAAAATATTTACCTCTAGGTTTTTGTAATGCTTAAATGAGATATTATAATGGAAAGCATTTTGAACAGTTGCTTATAATTATTTTTTTCTATTGTACCATAGTATGTACAACTTCGTAATTAGGGCAAGTAGTGGAAACTTTTTTTCCAAGGCTTGGTTACTGCCTTTTCACTTGGACTTGGAAAACTTGTTTTTCTGGGTGAAGAAATGTTTTCCCTGTGTGAAAGTTTCATAATTACGGTCAACCAGGCTCATGAGCCTTGCCATTTAAAGTGGCTCCTTTCTTTTACCTATGACACTAATACCTACACCCTGGGAATAAGGACACTGACTCATCTTCTGAGCTTCAATAGGATAACCACCGAAGTCCCTTTGAACTCTATATTGCCATGATTCCCTGGCTAAGGATGACAGGAACTTGACACGGACACTCCTTGGATTTCATCCCATGCAGAGGCATTCTTACTTCCTTGTGACGTTGAATGAGGTTTGAAAGGTAAGTGAAAGGGAAGGAGGCACACAATGAAGTCAGCCATAGAACCAGTGTTTAACGTGGTCATCTAAGGAATAAAATGAGCCTTTTTAAGGTTTCCCAAGCCAGATCAGGAGAGTTAAGCTGTGGAGTGGAGAGTAGTCTTATTTACTTTTTTTAAAGACCATGAATTAAAATTTATCAGAAAATGAATTGCATAAAGACAAGGGTAAAGGTGTTTATTTAGGAAGTGAAAATGTTACCAACATAGTTTCTGTGAATATGAGCTTGAAATAAAAAGAAAGGATAATTTACTATTAACAGAATTGTTTGAAAATCATATAAGTACCATCATTAGCCCCATGATCCCTAATTCTAGGTCACTGTAAAATTATAACACCTTCAGGGTATTCTTAACAGCTTTTTAGGAACTTATTAACCAAATATACAAGTTTTGACTTGGCCATAAAAGCTAGGAGAATGATGATTCTCTGAGATTAATGAGTAACATTTGTTTATTTGATTTACTTTTAAAAAAATCATTCTAAAATATGCTTACTGTCCTC